GGTGAAGTCTTTTGAAGAGCATAGGTGTTTGATTTTTAGAAGATCCCAGTTATCTAGCTTATCTGCTGGGTTTTGTGCGTTGATGGTTATGGTTTATATAGAGGTTAAGTAATTCGACTGAGGTCACACAGTGGCAAAGCTGGGATTGCAACACAGGATTCTGTCTCCAAATCTCAAACCGTAAAACCTGAAAATCTGATCATCTTTGGTACAATTACAGCTGCCACCATCAGCATCATCTCTATGATTGTGACACTTACTGCCTCCTTACTCTATGGATGATGCTAGCCTGGCTAAATGTTCCTCAGCTAAATACCAATTGTGCATAGATCAGTAAGCTATAAATATTGCATGAGAGGCAGTTTAGGATAATGGTTATCAACACGGTCTCTGAAGCCAGACTGACTGGGTTTAAATCCTGGTTCTACCACTTACGAGTTGTGGGTCTTTAGGCAAGTTATTTGGCCTCTCAGACCTCAGTTTTCTCATCTATAAAATGGGCCAATAATAGTACCTATCTCACAAGGTTTCTGGGAAGGTTAAATGTGTTAATATATGGAAAGTATTCAGAAAAATGCCTGATGCATAATAAACCAAAAAGAAACCCATTGTCATGGAGCCGATTCCGACTCATAGCGACCTTCTAAGACAGAGCAGAACTGCCCCATAGGATTTCCAAGGCTGTAATCTTTACAGAAGCAGACTGCCACATCTTTCTCCCATGGACTGGCTGGGGTTCAAACTGCTGACCTTTCCGTTAGCAGTCAAACACTTAATCCCTGTGCCACCATGGCTCTTTCTCATGTATGATTGGTGTTCTTAAAGTGTTAGCTACTGGAGAATAGGAAGGAAGAAAGTCAACATATTTCTTGGACCCTCAGCTACTTTCTCATAGCTAGTTATGGGAAAGAAAAACAGAAAGGTCGTTATGTTCATGACTGCATAGAAAGCCAAGAATAAAATCTTGGATCAAGTACAAGAGCTGGAAGCTAACTGCTGTGGCCAGTTTGAAAAGTGAAAACCTATGGCCATCCTTGGCCAAGCTGGTCCCCCAGGAATCTTGGGGTGAAATGGGAGACTGGTTCTTCAGCCAGAAATAAAGGTGTGGACATCAGTTGGACAGGTGATTTATGGGATTCCATAAACTCACCATACTTTGTTTTTTTGTCACCTAAAGCTAAAGGGGAGCTCAGGTAGCGCGATGGTTGAGAGCTATGGCTGCTAACCAAAAGGTCGGCAGTTCAAATCCACCAGCTGCTCCTTGGAAACCCAATGTGGCAGTTCTCCTCTGTCCTTTA